GTGAATAGCCTCCGTAACTCATTAACTCACTTTTAATCTCTATGATATGTAAGCAATTACCTTTCATTCTTTTATAACACATTCTCATTTTTTTCTTCAATTATTCCTAGGGTAATGTTCAAAATCTTTATTTTCAATGAAATATTTGAGTTTTTTAAAAAATATATTTGAATAATGTGAACGTTCTGTGTTCTGAAAGGGACAAATTATTATTATTTTTTTAAGGTTAAATTTACTTCCTCTGACATTATAATTCCTTATTTATATGTGAGATGTACTGTGTAGAAGTTGAATAATATGGACAGTCTTTGTTTAGCTACTACCTTTTGTGTTCATTTGGAAACCATAAGGTAACATGACAATAGTTTCAGAGATCACTCATTCACTATTTCAAATCATTTTCCAATGAAATATCACTTTCTAAAAATTTTTGTAATGTGATGTTTCTAACTCTTTTATGCTCAACAGTGTCTAAATGGGACACTTTTTTTTTTTTTTCTTCTTTTTTTGGCTTCTCTCCCATGGGGGGAGCCTGTGAAGATATATCAAAGAGGACTTCCTAGTTCAATTCCTTTTTATTCTGGTCTTATCATATACAGACAAGATGTAGCTCTCAATTTCAATTCAATAGCCATTCACTAAATACTTCTGTGCAGGTAGTGATGATACAGGATACTGAGATGAGCAAGACAAAGATCTTACTCACTGGTAACTCATTGAGTTATGTTATATCCCTCTTTGGACTTTTTATTATAGGTTTTTCTCTATTCTTTCATACTTGAAATGCTATGATAAAGTGAACTACAGATGACATCATAAGTATTTACAAACTTGAAAAGATTATTGTGAATGTAAGATTTAAAATGTTCAGCTTAATGAGAATCTCTTTAGACAGCTCTTTTGCTTTGGCAAATAAATTATCAAGGAAAGTCACACAGTAAGTAATCACATTACTAATTGTGTAAGTTTCTTGGTTCTCGGATTTTGAATATATGTTCATATAATTCAGTTCTCTAAATCATATTCTTTGTAATTTTACTCAATTATTACCTGCACCTAACAATCAGTGGACTGAGGTACACAATATATAGGAGACTTGTCTAGATTCATATGGTTAATCAATAATGGAGTTTATATTAAAATACAGTTATTCTGCTTTTCAGAGCCTAGTCTTTAGTAAAACAACTTAAAATATTATGTGATTTGGTAAACTGAATCAATTGAGAAATTTCAGACACTAAAATATTTAGGTTCTTATCAAGATTCCAAAACAAAAATATTTTTATGATATCATTGTAGATTTTAAGGCACTTTACATACTACATGACATCATTCAGTTTTCATCATAATCCAAAGTTGGAAATGATTCAAGAATTATTATCCACAGGAAATCTGACCTCATACAAATGCATAGAGCAGATCCTTTGATTCCAAAGTCAGTGCTTTTAGCTTTATTTCATGAATATGATTTAAATATGAAAATTATGTATTTGTATGTATTGAGTAATTCAATTTTTCTTTGGTGATGTTATATAGTCCCCATAAAGTAATCTGACCAAAAGAGAGTTAAATTTCTTTTGTCAAGAATCAATGAAAATTGTTAAGTTCTATCTTTCTGTCAGTGAGGCCTGTGTTAGAGAAAATGAAATTGAACACAGTGGGTGAGTAACATGTTTTACCCATACAGTATCATGGCAGGAATTGAAGTTTTCTCTTTTGACGACCTCTTTTTTAAACACCATGAAATATGTGATAAATGTTTTTTAAAGTAAATCATAGTTTTAGAAGGTGATTGGTCTAGCACGAGTTCCTATTGGGGGAATGACAAATCTGTGTCCCACTGTTTTTTTTTACAGTAACTAAACAAGGCATATATATTAGGTCATGTAGGAGATAGAGTATGAAATAGACATTATTAAAAATATTGTGTATTCTAATGAAATCATGAACACTAACGTGATCAAAGTTGCCTTATTTTTTATATTCAATAAAAATCAGTTTTAAAATATTTGCAAGTGTATGTCTTCTTATGAAATTAGCATTAATGGAGAATGGCAGCAGAGGGATTACAATCATTATGGTATGTGTTATTTGAGTGTGTGGGAGGGTGATTTTTTAAAATATATTTAAAATCATAAAAATTTAGAATTTTCCCCAATATCATATATTTTATAATTGTCTACTATTCTCACAACCCATATAGGAAATGTGCAAACAATTTAAGGGGCACTTGGGACCCCTCTTCCTCTGTGGGAAATGTGTGCAATGAATTCTAAGCTTTAATATCATAACTATTTTCCCTACTCAAGCAAATATTCATAAAAATATTTAATTGAAATTTTATTACAGATTCATACATAATTGTAAGAAATAATTCAGAGAAATCTCATGTACCTTTCACCCAAATAACATCTTGCAAAAAATATCACAACTGGGAAACTGACATTGATATCATCCACCAATGTTATTAAGGTTTCACCAGTTTTACATGTACTCATGTGTGTGTTCATGTGTATGTAATTCCATGCAGTTGTATTATCTGTGTAGGTTCTTGTATCCATCACCACTGTCAAGATACAAAGCACTTCCATCACCACAGGTGTCCCTTGTGCTGTTCTTTCATAACCGAAGTCACATCCTTCCCACTCCCCTCGAATCCTCCTTTTCCTTAACCTTTGGTAACCACTAATCTCTCTCTAAAATTTTATTTCAAGACACTATATAAATGTATTCCATCTTAATTTATTTATAGAGTTTTGGAGTGTACCACTTTGTATGTTTTCTTAATAGTTGTTCCAAGTATTTAAATATATATCTATGACCTATCTTAGAGTCTGCTAGTAGCAATGTTTTACCATTTTGAGTAAAGTATAGAAATCTTATTTCCACTTTATACTTACCTTGAGTATTCCTTTTACATCTGTTGAACACTGCATCAGTTGATGTTATAATTTTATTTCAACCATTATATAATGGAGAGAACTCAGGAGGAGCAAGGTAGTCTACATTATATTTACCCATACAGATTTTTTCTTTCAGTTGTTTTTTCTTCCTACTCGGTACTCCAAGAGTCCTTCATTTCTGTATAAAGAAACTTTCTTTAACTTTTCTTTAATATAAATCTACTAGAGACAAATGTTAGTTTTCCTTCTTCTAAGATATATTTATTTCCCCTTGATTCCTGAAGGTTAGTTTCACTGAATAAAAATTCATCCTTGTCAGTTCTTTTCCTTCAGCATTTGAAAAATGTGCCACTCCCTCTGGCCTCCATGATTTCAAATAAGAAATTTATTGTCATTCAAACTGGTGTTCTCTTATAGGTAATATGTTTTTATCTCTAGCTGCTTTCAAGATTGTTTTTCTTTGTTTTTGGATTTCAGATGTGTAATTTTGATCTACCTTGACATAGAACTTCTTTGGGTTTATTCTCTTTGACATTTGCTTATCTACTTGATTCTGTACATGTATTTCTTTTGCTAAATTTGCAGTTTTCAGCCATTATTTCTTCAAATACTCTTTCAGCCCACTCTCTTTCTCTTCAGATGATATTGATGTTGGACATTTTGTTATTGTCCCACAGGTCTCTGAGGCTCTGTTCTTTTTTCTTTTCTTTTCTTTTTCTCTTTTTCGATCTATTTTCTCTCTGTTGTTCAGATTGCAATTATTCTGCTACTGCGAACCTAAGTTCATTGAGTCTGTCCTCTGACATCTCCACTGTACTATAGAGCCAACACATTGAGTTTTGAGTTTGGAAACTGTTTTTGACCTCCTAATTTTTGTTTAGTTCTTTTTATAATTTCTTTTTCTTTGCTGAGATTTTCTATTTTTCATTTGTTTCAAGATAATTAGTAATGCTTATTAAAATATTTTTTGATGGTGGCTCCTTTAAATATTTTGTCAGATAATTCCAACATCTATTGCAACTCAGTGTTGGCATCTGTCGATTACGTTTTCTCATTCACATTATGATTTTTCTTGCATTTGGTGTGACAAGTGATTTTTTAAAATTTTTTATTGTATTTTTGACATTTGGCTATTATATTAGGAAACTCTGGACCATATTTAAATATTCTATTCTAGGAGGCAGTCATTCTGTTTAGGTTTAGCATATAGGTTCTACCATATATTTGCAGGCTGTGGTTCACCAATTTGTCAGGGCCTTTGTAATTCTATTTGGTCATCTTAAGTTGTCTATTTCCACTGAGGGTTACACTGATGTACACTGGTGCACCTAAGGGGACAAAGGTGCTCCCCCAGGACAGCTGCCTGGTAGCTCTGTGGGCTCTAGGTGGTTCCCTAGGTTATGGGAAGATCATTTCTAGGGCTGGGTACTTATAGAGGGATTCTCCTGCTGCCAATGCTTTCCGACAGGCCATTGTATCTAGGGAGCAAAGGGGTGTCTCCAGCCCACTGGGGACAAAGATCACTTTCCATGGGCACTTGCTGTCAGTGATGCTCCAATTCGAATGAGAGCAAGTTTTAACATCTAGTACTTTACAGGTGCTTTTCATCTGAATGGTTTAAATGAAGTTCAATGGGTGTCTCTACTGCAAAGAGCTTTTAGTATGCTTATGCTCATTGTTGGTCTCTTGGAAGAAATGTAGCAGCCTTAAATTTCCCAAATTTATCTGTCCATAGAAGTGAACCTTTTTGTTTACAGTTTTTTTTGGCACTAGCATTCCATGAAAAATTGTGGAAGAAAGCCATTTTTATCATCATCATCTACCTCATCCAAAGTAAGGTACTAGATATAATCATTTAATTAAAAAGTTATTTTTGAGAACCTTAAGGAGCACTTAATTCTACTTTGATTTTGTTAACAATCTGATAAAATATTTCAATATATTTAAACTGTCCTTTAAACTGTTTCAGGAAGAAGGATTTAGATGTATGGCCAAAAAAAGAAAATGTTTATTATGTTGTACTAAAAATATGTAGTCTAACAGCACTGAATTTTTCTAATGTTGTTATTCACATTTTAATTTTTTTTCCCTTTCCAGCTTTAAGAGACAATAGGATTGAGCTGGTTCGGGCTTCCTGGCATGAACTGAGTATCAGCGTCAGTGATGTGTCTCTCTCCGATGAAGGACAGTACACCTGTTCTTTATTTACAATGCCTGTCAAAACTTCCAAGGCCTATCTCACTGTTCTGGGTAAGTGAAAGGGACTAACACGGTGTAATCACCAGCCAGAGAAATGCATATTGCTAGAACAACATAACTCATAAAAACATATACATTTTGAAGATCATAATAATAGATGTAGTTTAATCCCTTCTCTGCTACAGTGTAACAAAGGACATTGAAAGAATCACCTAGTCACTTTTTCCATTTTACAAATAGACAAAGGGAGGTGTAAAGATTTGTATGACTTCTGAGAGCACAGGGCTATTTTATTTCTTAGCCAGCAATAGACAGCAGATTTCTTGTTTTTCAACTAAATTTCTTTGTATCAAATTGTCTATGTATTGTATATATGATGATCCTTTTATAAAGTGGTAGAATAATGAACATAATAAATTCAACACATCTATATGGTGCTCCTCCATGTTATCATATCAGTCACCTGATAGGGGCCTTCTCTTATATGTTATGGCTTTCAGATATGACCCCTTTGTGTATTTCAATGCATTTAAATGCCCTGACATTTCTATGTATCTTCTCACCTTTTAACTTTGTAGTTATCTAGATTCCTAAATGAAATACATAATGTCACTTGTGCATGCAGCTTGTACCTTCTTTGTACTTCTATTCTCTAAATATTGGGTCATTTTCCCAAAGGGTAAAGTGACACAAAAGCAATACATTCATAGAGATTCCAAGGAAATAAAGTTGTGCCTCAGAGCTCTCTGTGATTCCACAAATGTCAGTGGCCCAATCAGCTGAAATTGCTGCAGTTCATTGAAGCACACCTGTGTACTGAACAAGTTAAAGGAATTTAAAGATTGATTTTTTTTTGCCCCTAGTTTGCCTTCCTTTTTTGATACATAAAGGCATTACATTGCATTTAAAAGAACTAACACATGCTGTTCTTTTGGGTGAGAATATTAAGGTTAATCCAGCCACCGAATTGGTTTTGTGCATAGGATAAGAAACATGTTTCTTTGCAAGTCCCACTGAGACTGTTTTATAAAAATCTTCACAAGCTTGCCATTAAGGACAAAATATAACCACTAAAATGGAGTACTTCAGGATAACAACTGCCTAAGGTTAAAGTATTAGTCTGTAGAGAACCATCTTGAGACCCCAAGGATAGGCAAGTGGATGATTTCAGCTTATTAAATGATGGTGTGATATAAAATTTTTTTAAGGCAATATGAAGGTGAACAGGAAAAAAACAAAAACAACTAGCTATTTAATTGGAATATGTTGATCTGTCATTTATCTTTGTTGTTTAAATGTGTATTTCTCTCACTGGTGCTTTCCAATCTGCTTACATTTTATTATTTTCAAACTGAATTAAATAGTACAATAAAGAAACTTTCAGTCTGCCTTTATTATTAAATAATTTTAGAATAAATTTCAATAAACCTCTACACCAACAGGATATCATCCCCCCCCAAATAATAGAACATTCCAAAACGTATAATGTTCTATTATTTAAATCACCCATATACTATTTCTGCATATTAGTTATCTGCTTATTGATTGGATGATTTAGAGTAGAAAAAGCAATTAGTGGTTAGCATTAAAAATAATATGTATCATGTTCCACAAAACTACAACTGTATTTCTAATACAAACAATATCAAGAGACATTCTCTACTTTAGAAGAATCAGAAAAGTATAGTTGAAATTATCAATGAAACTTTACTTCTAAAATGTATTTATTTGTACACAGATAAAAACGTCTTTCTTAAGCTTGAAGAATTATGAAGTCAAGAATAAAAGGTTCTACTTTAGTTAAATCATAATTTGCTAAAGAATAAAGAAATGTGCTTTGTGAATTTTTTTTTAACCAGTGTAAACAATGTACATTCTTAACTTCTTATACTGGTAAATCTTAAAATATATTGAATGGATGTTTTTAAGATTTACAAAGAGCACTTCTGCAGGTAAAATTTAATATAAACTACTTTGAACTAAATAAATGCTTTCGGAGATTAGATATATATAAAAATGTACAAACACACATGTATATGTGTGTGTATACATGTGTGTATATATAAATTTATCTATATCTATCTATATATATGTTAAGCAGTTTATTTTATTATATAGCAGGTTTTTTTTTTATTATTATTGATATAACTTGTTGTCGATCACCTAGTTTAGAGTTGTTTGTGAAAGTAATAGTCACAAGAATGAACCAACCCCGGAGATCAGTGTTCAGTTCATTTGTTTGCTTAAATTTCAGGTGTTCCTGAAAAGCCTCAAATTAGTGGATTTTCATCACCAGTTATGGAGGGAGACTTGATGCAGCTGACTTGTAAAACATCTGGTAGTAAACCCGCAGCTGACATAAGATGGTTCAAAAATGACAAAGAGATTAAAGGTAAAGAATGGGAAAAGGACCCCAAATCAAAATTAATGTGCTCATAGTAGTATGCAAAGTTACATACACTTTACATTTTCTTTTTCAAATCACAGTCACTTTCTGATTAAGTGTAATTTGAACCAGATTTACTCATTTCTTAAATTAGGTAATTTTAGAAGTTATATTAATATAATCTCATGCTCATTTCCTCTTATGTAAAACATGTCTAAAGATATATCTCATGGGAAAGTTGGAGAAATAAATGAGTGTATATATATATACATTATATATACATAATATATATATTTTTTTATATATTATCTCATATATATATAATGAGCTAATATATAAAAAAGCACATAGATTTGTGCTTGACAGTAGTAAGCACTAGATATAAGTTAGATATTATTTAGGAATTTATTTAAATTACAGACAGACTTCATGAATTATTTCTTAAATTCGTTGGTGTCTGGAATTACAAAGTTTTGAGAATAAAACTGAGTAAACATTAATAAATCTGATTCCTAATCTTCACAGAAGGCAAAAACAATGTACTCGTCTCAGTAAAAATGCATAGTACAGGGATACCTTGGGTTTGATTGCAGACCACCTCAATAAACCTAATATCATACTAATGTGAGTCACACAAATTTTTCAGTTTCTCAGTACATATAAAAGTTATACTTACACTGTACTGTAGTCCAGCGGTCACTAACCTTTTTGACACCAAGGACTGGTGCTCCTATGAGAATCTAATGCTTGATGATCTGAGGTGGAGCTAGGACGGTGATGCTAGTGCAGAGCAGTGGCTGAAAATACAGATGAAGCTTCACAGGAAGGCAGGGGCCAAATAAGTCATGGGAGATCTTTTATTCTAGATTAAGGAGTTTGGAATTTATTCTGTAGGCAATGGTGAGACTTTTTTTTTTTTCAATTACCCTCAAACAGTAGAATGAAACAATCATAATTTTTACTTCACTATGTTTTTCTGAAACCTCCTCCACTCTACCCCCCATAAGCCTGACTAAGAAATCCCTTTGATGCCTCTAGACAGCTCTGCATCCTAAACCACCTGTGGCTTTATTGCAGTTTTTAATCTTCTATGAAGCAAAAAAAATCTGAATATCTGCCATATACTATGGGACAAAGAGGTGTATTGCCTTCCTAAATTTATTGACTTTCTGAGAATCTATATAAACATTCCATTCTGTGTGTAAGTTTGGTAATATGTAGTCTGAGCATTTGCTCTCATAAAATTTTAAGATTTACTTTTTCAGCAAACTAGTTTTTACATTGTTAGGCAAAATTCATAACCCTCTATGATCTACACCCTTGTATAAACCCCCTTGAGTGTAGGAGGGACTTACGAATATATTATATCACTGCCTTGAATATGTTATCTTCTAACAGGGATTTTGCAGATATAATTATGGGTTCCTTTTGAGTTCATCAAATGGGATTATCAAGGCAAGGTGAGGTCTTTAATAAAAAATGAAGAATCAGAGAGACATTCTCCTCCTGGCTGGGAAGAAGGCAAATAGCTATCTTATGAGCTCTCTAAGGGGTCATGTGGCAAAGAACTGTGGGTGACTTCTAGGAGCTGAAAGCAGTTCCTGAATGACAGCAGTTCCTGAATGACAGCTGAGTGACAGAAAATGGAAATCTCAGCTATATAGCTTCAAAGGAATGAATTTACCAACAACCAGAGACCTTGAAAGGGATCCTAAAACTCAGAAGGGAATTGCAGCCCCAGCCAACACCTTTATTTTAGCCTGGTGACACTGAGAACAGGACCAGGCAAATTTCTATCAGGACTCCTAATGCACAGAAATGTGAGATAATAAATGTGTGTTGCTTTAAGCCACTAAGTTTGCAATAACTTGTTACACGGCAATATCAGGAAACTGAGATTTAAAAAGGCAGAATTATTTCTCATGGTGATACATCTGGCAAAAACTAGGCTTATTCTAAGGGTAAGATTCAACACTTAAATTTGAGGAGAAAGCCTAAGCTAAAAGAGTAGTTAAGGGACATTCCAACAATGAGCTAATGAGTAAAATGGAATTTTTAAATAGAATAAAGTGGATTTTTTTAATGATGGATTTGAAAGAGAAGACAAATTTCAGGTGAATGTTGGTGAATGATTCTGGGAGATGGAGCAAAAACAAAAGTCAGAGATGATAAAATTTGAGTGCCTGAGTGACTTGAATAATGAGCATGTGGAAATAAGAAAGGCATTAGGAAAAATTAGTTCAGAAACAGTGATAATATGTTTAGTCTTTAAGATATTGTAGATGAAGTAATTTGTAGAATCTAAAAGAATATGCTTAGTAAGCTTTTGGAGTTAGGTGACTTTGACTAGGAGAGGAACTTTGTCCATAAAAAGGTCTATCATCTCATAATGAGGGACTTCTTTAGTTTTAGGCTTCTTAAAATGTCATCAGCTCTTCATGTATGCAGAATACTTCTAACAGAACTTCCTCCCCTCCCCTAAGAATGCTATGTTGTAACCTGCATATCCATCAAAGCTTGCATATCCATCAATTTAATCTTGCCAGTACCTAATAATATTGGTTGTATTCTACAAGTGTTATTTATTTATTATACATCGTGTGTTTCAAAGGTTTGACCTTCAAGCTCAAGTTGACTTTAGCCGTTTCCCTGTCTGAACAGATTTTTTGACATACACTTTGATATCAATCAAAAATAATGCAGCTGCTCATTTTTAGGTTGGCTAAATATAGTATAATTTCACTGTATTCTACTTACTAAGTAATTATTTAGCATTTGGAAAAGTGCGAGTGAACTTATGAATGTTGTATTTCTCAAAAGGTGACCTTTAGACTGCTTGGATCAGAATTACCTGAGGTGATTCATTTAAAAAATGCAGATTCCTCGTCTCAACACAGACTTTTTAAATCAGAACTTCTGGATATCAAGCCTAGAAATTCTAATATTTATTAATCTGGTGATATTTAGGCTCATTATAGTTTGAGGATGCATAGGATTAGAAACCAGTAAGCAAAGTATTAAATATATATTTCAGGAAAGAGAGGAAGAGGTCTCAATCTACTAAATTTTAGAAAATGACTCTTAATATTATATATACTTTCTGAGTCTATGCTTAGGAGATTCTCTAAAACAGAATCAAAATGTACTTTAGCATTTTAACATTTTTGAGAATTACTGCAAAAATCCCTTTAGCTAACATCTTAGCTATATTCTTTGACCACATAATATTATTTTTGTTATTTATTCATTTCATGTTTTTTCCCCTATTGAACTCTATGGAATTTATCTTGAGAAATGGTAGATTATATATTTAATTTAAATACTCTATTTAGTGTTGCAAAACTAGTTTTGGTCTAATGCTTCATTTAACATCAATTGTACAAAATTTTAATTTTGAGTAAGTGAAATGCAAACGTACACAGAGATTGTGAATTCTCTGAAGCTAACTTAAAGAAAATAAAAAGGAAGGATTTGGGTCCTCAAGTTTAAAATCTCTGTATTATATAAGGATTAATTGAATGTACTAGTATTTAAATTTGTAGTGTACACCATGAAAAGATGATTTTTTGTGTTCTTTTTTTATACTTACCACTTTGCCATTTAAATCTGGACCATGCTGGGCACTGTATTAAATGAGAAAAAAATAGCATTAATTATACCTGTGTGAGTGTGTGTTTGTGTGCATGTGTATATATATATACGACTTGAAGTTTTCTGAATCCCGTTAAGTGTATTATTACCTCAAGACTCAAGACTCTCCAGGCCACACTATGAAATACATAGACCTCTTAATGAAAGAGATAAAACAATTATCCTTATGTGTATGAGTGATTGATGAAGGCAAAGAATCAAAAAAATCTTTGAGAAACTGTACTTTTAAAAATATTTTTACTAAAAAAATGCTTTATTAAGATAAAATAGACAAAAAATAATTCGAAATATGCAGTTTGGTATGTTTTCACAAATGTATATAGTGATGAAACCATCACCACAATAAAAGTAATGATTATATTTATCATCTACAAAAGTTTGGTCACACATCTTCCAAATCTCCTCCTATTGACCTTCTCTGGCCACCCTCACCTCGTTTCCAGGAAACTACTGTTTCATTTTATGTCATTATAAATTAGTTTATATTTTGTAGAATTTATATAAATAGAATCATACAGTATGTACTCTTCTTTTTTTATTTATTTACTTCAACATATATATTTTGAGGTCCATCCATGTTGGTACATGTATAATGATAGTTCCTATTTGTTGCTGATTAGTATTTCATTGTATGGCGCTATACTATAATTGTTTATTCCTTTATCTAGTGATAGGCTTTTAGGGTGTTTACAGTTTGCATCTATTATTATTTTTTTTTTTTACTTGATGAGCCGTGTTTTGGTATTATATGTGAAATAATTTGCCTAACTCAAGATTACAAAAACTTACTTCCATAAATTTTGTATTTTTAAAACGTTTTGAATGCATTTTGAGTTGTTTTATATTTTTTAATGCCCTTGTCTTTTATTTCTCTCAGCTGTGTTATGTCTAAGTTATTTTCGATAGATTGATTGATCTCATTATAGATAGCATTTTTCTTCTTTGAATGCATAGTAGTTTTTTAATTGGATTCCAGACATTGTGAATTTTACCTTTTTGGTGCTAAATATTCTTATATTTCTATAAACATTTTTAAGCTTTGTTCAGGTTAAGTTACTTAGAAAGAGTTTAATCCTTTCAGAGCTTTTAAATTTCTTACAGCAGAACCAGAGCAGTATTTATTCTAAGAAAAAATGTTTTTCTCATTACTGAGGTAAAATCCTTCTGAGCGTCCAGTACACCAATTATGAGATTTTTCAATTAAGTTGATCAGAATAGGCCCTATTCTCAGCCCTGTGTGAGCATTGTGTACTATTTCCTTTAATTCTTTTAGGTGGTTTTTATCCCAGTCTCAGTTTCCTCACACAGATGCACTGGCCAGTACCTCTTTTGCCAAATACTGGAGGGGACTTGAA